GTTTAGGGTTTAGGGTTTAAGGTTTAGGGTTTAGGGCTTAGGGGTTTCGCTGTTCGCTGGCCTGAGGGTTTAGGGCTTAAGCTCCTTTTGCTTTATTCGAGCGAGACGCTTCAAGACGCCAGAGCTGTTGCTGGGTCAGGGTTTAGGGTTTAGGGTTTAGGGTTTAGGGTTTAGGGTTTAGGGTTTAGGGTTTATGCGCAGGAGTGCTGCCGACGGTCAGCTGCCCCTCAAGTGTCTCCTCGCCTGCTCGCAGCGTGGCTCAGAGACTTCAGGTGAGCAGCAGCAAATTAAAAGGAGCAGCAGCAGCAGCAGCAACAGCAGCGGCAGCAGCAGCAGCAAAGTAAAGAGGAGACAGAAGCAGCAGCAGCAAATTAAAGGGGAAACAGAATCCGCAGCAGCAACAGAGTTAAAAGGCGATAGAAGCAGCAGCAGCAGCAGCAGCAGGAGTAAAAGAGAGACAGCAGCGGCAGCAGATAAGGAGGAAGACAGAAGCAGCAGCTCCCCTAATGACTATTTCACATCTTTTTAATCTTTATTTTTTCTTTTTTTTTCTGCTTTTTTTCCCTTTTTTCTCTTTTTTGTTTCTTTTTATTTATTCCTTTTTCTTTTTTATCTATATTCCTCTTTTTAAATCTTTTTTAAATCTTTTTTATCTTTTTTAATTTCATTTTTTATTTTTTTATTTTTTGGTTTTGCTGCTGCAGGAGAAAATAGATGCTCTTCCCCCAAAAGCCTTTTCGGAAATCTTCGGCTCTGCTGCCACAGCTGTGACGAGGCCCCTTCTAGTCCTTATTGTGAGGCCCTGCTGCTGCTGCTGCTGTTGCTGCTGCTGCTGTTGCTGCTGCTGCTGCTGTTGCTGATGCTGCTGCTAAGGTTGGCGGCTGAGGCTGGCTCTGGCGGGGCTGCTAGAGAGCCCGTCTGCTGCTGTCTTTCGAGTGCGTCTGCTGCTGCGGCTGCTGCTGCTGCACAGTTTGGTGCTGCAGCTGCTGCTGGTGAATAGTTTGGTGCTGCTGCTGCTGCTTTGCAGCGGCAGCAGTTGTTGCTGTTGTGTCTATGCTGTCTCCATCTGCAATCCCAAGTGTTCACACACGCAACTCGCAGCGAGGCGCTGCTGCTGCTGCTGCTACTTCTGCTGACGCTGCTGCTGCTGCTGACGCTGCTGCTGATGCTGCTGCTGCTTCTGACACTGCTGCTGCTGCTGCTGCTGCAGGACAGGGAGTTCGACCTCCTGACGATGCTGCAGCACACGTGGCTCTACGGGGCCCTCATCCATGACTTGCTGAAGCTCAGGTCCCGCAGCCCTAGCCCTGCACGCCGCCTAGCTAGCTAGCTAGCTAGCTAGCTAGTCAGCTAGCTAGCTAGCTAGCTAGCTAGCTAGCTAGCCAGCTAGCTAGCTACGGCTAGCTCCCCGAGTGTAGCTAGCTAGATCTAGCTACCTAACTAAGGCTAGATAGCTGGAGCCAGCTAGCTAGAGGTAGCTAGCTGAGTCTCGCTAGATATGGCTAGCCAGCTAAGGCTAGCTAGCTAGATCTAGCTAGCTGGGGCTAGCTAGGTGAGGGTAGCTAGCTGAGACTAGCTAGCTGAGGCTAGTTAGCTGATGCTAGCTGGCTGAGCCTAGCCAACTACGTGTAGCTAGCTATTGCTAGCTAGCTAGCTAGCTATTGCTAGCTAGTTAGCTGGCTAGCTAGCCAGCTAGCTAGCTCTCGATAGCTAGCTATAGCTAGCTAGCTATAGCTAGCTAGCTGCGTGTGTGTGTGTGTGGCTTTCAGACTCAACAGAGTCACTGTGACAACTCCAGGCGAAGGGGGAGCGGCCCCGACGACGAAGGTCTTTGACCTCGAGAAGTGAAAGACCTAGGGTTTAGGGTTTAGGGTTTAGAGTTTAGGGTTTAGGGTTTAGGGTTTAGGGTTTAGAGCTTAGGGTTTAGGGTGAGAGAGTTTGTTTCATTGGCTTGAGGACAGTTCAGGGTCCAGGTTTCCGGGTCCCGTGTCCCGCGTTCAGGGTTCAGGGTTCAGGGTTCAGGGTTTAGGGTTTAGGGTTTAGGGTTTAGGGTTTGGGGTTTTGCAGGCGGGACTTGTTCTGGAGAGACCACGCGTTTTCGCCTTTTCCCGTTGCTGCTGCTGCAGTCAGCCAAATGCTGACAGAATATAATTCGGAGCTGTCGAGGGTTGGGAGGGCCCCCCCCGACGCCTTTGCCCAGCCCGGCACGCCAAACCCTAAACCCTAAACCCTAGGCCCTAGCCCTAAACCCTGCAGCTGGGAGCTGGAGGCGGCGGAGCCGCAGCAGGCTGCTGCCTTGACTCCAAACCCTAGAGTCCAGCTCACAGCGCCGGGGCTCGAATCAGTTCCAACCCTAAACCCTAAACCCTAAACCCTAGGCGATGCAAGCTCCAGTGTTTATTTTATTTTTTGTTATTTTTGGCCCCAAAAATAACCACTGCCCTTCCTTCTCCCGGCCGCGCCTGCTTTGCCTAGCCCTTAGGGTTTAGGGTTCAGGGTTTAGGGTTTAGGGTTAGGGTTTAGGGTTTAGGGTTTTGCAGGCGCTGGGGACTTTTCTTCGGAGATTCTGAAGGCCGTGGATGTTCTCCCGGATTTGGCGGATAAGAAAAGATCTCTCGACGCCCACACGACAATTGCCACAGCTCTCGTTTCTGCTATTAAGGAAAGGGCCCTTGATAGGTCCTAAACCCTAAACCCTAAACCCTAAACCCTAATAGTCCACTGGTCTCTTTCTGTCTTTTTTTTGGCTTTTTTTGGCTTTTTTTGAATTTTTTTGAAAGTTTTGGGATCTTTTTGGATTTCTTTAATTCTTTTTAATTTCTTAAAATCTTTTTAAATTCTTTTAAATCTTTTTGAATTTTTAGAAAAACTTTCAAATCCTTCTAAATCCTTCTAAGTATTTTAAAGTCTTTTTATCTCCTTCGTAGCCACAGCTCTTGTTTCTGCAAGGGCCTTCGACAGGCTCTAAACCCTGAACCCTAAACCCGAATAGTCCTTTAAATCTTCATTTTAACCCCTCTTAATCCCATTTTAGACCCCATTTTAATCTCCTTTAAATCCCTACTTTAATTTCATTTATTCCCATTTTAATCTTCATTTTAATTCCATTTTAAGTCCATTTCAATCTCCATTTTAATTCCATTTTAATTCCATTTTAATTCCATTTTGATTCAACTTCAACTAAATTAAAATTAAATTAAAATTAAATTAAAATTAAATTCGAATTAAATTAAAATTAAATTTAAAAGTTTGAATTTGAAATGTTTTTGTGTTTGTGTTTGCAGGTTTTTCGAAGTTGAGCAAAGTTTCCCGCAGGAGCGAGAAGCAGCAGCAGCAGCAGCAGCGCAGCAAAGTGTTGCTGCTGCTGCTGCTGGGACTTTTGAAGACAAACTTCGCCTCCTCGCCTGTCTCTTTCTTTCCCGCCGTCAGATTCCAACTTTTTCTTTTAATTTTATTTCTTATTTTCTCTATCCTTTTTGTCTCCTCTTTTATCTTTTTATCTTTTTTTGTCTTTTCTTGTCCTTTTTGTCCCTTTTTTTGTATCCTTTTTGTATCTTTTTTGCATTGTTTTTGTCTTTTTTAAATTCTTTTTGTCTTTTTTGTCCCTTCTTTTGCCCCTTTTTGTCCCTTTTTAATCTTTTTTCTCTCTTTTTTCTCTTTTTTGTTTGAATTTTTTTGTCTCATTTTTATCCCTTTTTAGCTTTTTTTTGCCCTTTTTGTGTGTCTCTTTTGTCTCTTTTGTAACTCACTTTTGTTTCTTTTTTGTCTCTTTTGTTTGTCCCCTTTTTGTCTCTTTTTTCTGTCTTTTTGGTCCCTTTTTTTCTCCTTTTTTGTTTCTTTTTTGTTTCTCTTTTGTCTCCTTTTATCTTCTTTTTTGTTCCTTCTTTGTTTCCTTTTTAATTTCCTTTTTATTTTTTATCCATGTTTTATTCTTTTTAGTTCTTTTTATTTTTTTGCTTCCCCTTTTGTCTCTTTTTTCGGCTGTCCCCGTTTGTCTCCTTTCATTTTGCTTTTGCTGCGTCGTGTCCTTCTTATATCTGTTCCGTCTTGTCTCCTGCTGCTGCTGCTGCTGCTGCACCTGTTGTTGCTGCTGCTGCTGCTGCTCCTGTTGTTGTTGCTGCTGCTGCTGCTCACAGCCCCCCTTTTGACTCTCTTGTCTGCTGCTGCTGCTGCTGCTGCTACCTTTTCCTTTATTTTTGTTGTCTCTCTGTTCTTCTGCTGCTGCTGCTGCGGCTTTTCCTCCCCTGTTTGCCTCTATTGTCTTTCCTGCTGCTGCTGCTGCTGCTGCTGCTGCCGCTGCTGCTGCTGCTTGCAGCCAATTTCCCCGCGGCCACTTTTCAGACTCTCGTCTCCACTTTGGAGCAGCAAGGAGTTGACGTGGCTGCCCTCAACTTCCTCAAAAGATTCAGCGTCAGCTGCTGTTGCTGCTGCTGCTGCTGCTGGTGCTGTCTCCTTTTGTCTCCTGCTGCAGCTGCTGCTGTCTCCATTGCGTTTTTTCCCATCAGAAGCAGCATAATCAGCAGCAGCAGCAGCATAATCAGCATAATCAGCGGCATACTCAGAATCATAATCGTAATCATAAGTAGCAGCAGCAGCAGCAGCAGCAGCAGCATTTTTGTGCTCAGGCCCTCCGTTCGATTGGGGCGAGTCAGCAAGCTGCTGTATCTTCAGGTGTCTCTACAGCTGCTGCTCTCGAAGGCATTGGCAGCAAATTTCTGGACAAGGGCCGGGGCTTGCTGCAGGTGCTGCTGCTGCTGCTGCTGCTGCTGCTGCTTTTGTGTCTCCTTTTTCGATTCTTTTTGCAGCTCTTTGCGTCTTTTTGTCTCCTTTTGCTTTGTCTCTTCTCCCTTTTTCTCTTTTTCTTTTTTCCGAATCTTTTTAGATGTTTTTGGGCCTTTTAAGTCCTTTATCTCTTTTTATCTCTTCTTGTCTCAATTCAACTCTTTTTCTCTTTTTTCGTTTATTTTAGTGCCTTTTGACCTCTCATTAAATCTATTTTAATATTTTTTAATTCTTTCAATTCTTTTTAAATCTCCTTTAGTCTTCTTTTTTATCTCTTCACCTTTTTTTTTATCTCCTCATATTTCTTGCTTCTTCGTATTTTTGCTTTTGCATGCGCATGCATCAATTTGCTTCCGTTTGCATGCATTTGTGTCTTTTTTAGTTTTTTTGAAGTGTTTGAATGTTGCGTGCAAACAAATACTTTTATTTCCGAATCTTTTGAACATTTTGCATGCGAAAAAGGATTACATGAGATAAAAAGCAATTTATTTTCTGCTTTGCGCTGCATGCATTACTTTTTCTTATTTCTCCATTTTATACGAAAGCTCTTTTATATAACATTTAGAAAGTAATTGCACTCAAACTGGTTGCTGCTGCTGCTGTTCTGCTGCTGCTGCTGCTGTGCTGCTGCTGTTCTGCTGCTGCTGCTTTGCTGCTGCTGCTGTTCTGCTGCTCCTGCTGTTGTGCTGCTGCTATTGGGCTGCTGCTGCCACTACGCTGCTGCTCTGTTGCTGCTGCTTTGCTGCTGCTGTTGCTGCTGCTGCTGCAGGGTGTGAAGAACCTGCTGGTGCGGAAGTCTTCGCCGATTACACAGCTGCTGGAGGGCCTTTTGGAAGGCCAAGAAGTCCCTGGCCGCCAGACTTTGAGCCTTAAGGTGTTTTGCTAGCCTTGTAAACCCTGAAATAATGTTTTGCTAGCCTTCTAAACCCTGAAATAGTGTTTTGCTAGCCTTCTGGACTCTAAAAGAGTTTTTTTTGGTCTTCTAGAGCCTGAAATAGTGTTTTGCTAGCCTTGGTAACCCTAAAATAGTGTGTTTCTGGACTTTTAAACCCTAAAATAGTATTCTGCTACATTTCTAAACCCTAAAGTCGTGTTGCGATACCCTTCTAAACCCTAAAATAGTGTTTTGCCGCACTTCTAAATCCTGAATAGTGTTTTTGCTATCCTTTGTGACCCTAAAGTAGTAGTCCACCACATCTCTGAACCCTAATATGGTGTTTCGCCACGCCTGTAGACCCTAAATTAGGGTTTTCTGTGTCGCAGCATGCCCCAAAACCCCTTTCAAACGTCAGAGGTTCTCGCCCCGGGTTTATGTTTAATTACAATTATATAATTATTGTTATTATTATTTTTTAAGGTTTATTTTTATTTACTATTATTTTTATTCTTATTGAATTAAAAATGGAATTCTTGTGAAAGCCCCTTCACAGCTCCCGCAGCCAGTGTGTTCCAGCTGCTGCTGCTGTTGCTGCTGCTGCTG